AGTGGCAGAGGATGAGCAAAAAAGCAGAGGATGTGGCTGTGGAGGATGGAGTGACAGTTGTCTGTTGGTCATTAGGCCAGAAACTGTGCAAGGATCACAACACAGGAACACATTCTGACTACCAGCAGAGCCAAGGATAGGTGGGGATCTGTTTTCCACTTCAGTGACACGAGAGAACATCTTGACACAAACATAAACATATACACACATTCAAACTAGCAGCAAGTGCTTAAAGATGCTATCACACATACAGAGCAGTGAAGTCAAAACATAGAACAACAGAACAATGTTTTGCTAAATGCTTACAAAGTTAAGCCAAAGTTAACACTAGCAGTTACAGGCCAGAGAATAACATTTTGGTTTATTCAGGACTAACTGAATCTGTCATAAAAGAATTTGAATTTCAAAGAAAATCTAAATTAAGTGGCAAATGCATACGAGTGAAGTGAATGGTCAGAAACATATCTGCGCACCATATATGCAGGGAATGCAGAGGGAAACTGATTATGTACTGCATACATGCAGAGAGTTATATGAATCCACATTTGCTACACTGCACTACAAGTATTAGAAAGTTTCAGTAAGTAGTACGAGAAGAGTTGAAGTTGGAATAGGCACAACAGATGCAGAGAAGTTCAGTTTAAGACATACATTTTCTGAACAGATTTTTGTTGCTGCCATCTCTGTGCCTCTTTCTCCATCTCAAGTATAGTCTGATTACATGTGTCATTGATATACAGTATATATAAAAAAAAACATAACTGGAAACTGGAAGACCTGGGAACCTGGATGCATAATCACATGCAGCTAACTGACTTTGTACCGCTAGAAGGGGACCCCAGAATGCTGTATATAATGGTAATTATGAGATGGTTCATGATGGCTTTGATTGAGCTCATTCCATACACAGCAGTTACAAGTGTCATGAATATGGTGAATAGAGAAACTGAGAAACCATTGCCATGTTAGAACTGAAACTGAACTGAAATGCCATTCTCTTTCTGAAAATAGTCTTGATGAGGGACTGTCACCTCTGACAGTTCAACTAAAATTAAAATTACAGGCCATGCAAAACATTGATGTTTAAATAAATATTGCAAATTGGTATTTCTGTTCAATATGAAACATCCTGTGTATACACATCAGTAAGGAACTGAGATCTGGAATGCCCATTCTGGACTGCTGGTTGGGGATGAAAGCAGTGGATATAAAAGATGCATAAGCAGGTGGAACTTCCAGAACCATCACCCATCAAAGTACTAGTAACCGCTTGACAGTGGTGGCTCTCTACAATGCACAAAGCATCTGAGCTGAAGATGACAACTACCTGAATACACTAATCACACTGATGAAAACTGAAATGACCATCTTATATTATCAACATATGTATTTGATGTTGTGTGAACTTCATTTACTCAGTAATCATTTGTTATTGTGTGTGACTTTTATTATTATTTTTCAACTTGCATTATATGCATTCCTATGTGGAGCTTAAGCATGCTAATGTAAGCATTTGATGTAACTGTTATGGAAAAGTGACTTCAGTCACTTTTAAAGGGGGATTAATGTAGAAAATGAATTTGCCTTATTTGTTCTCATTTGGTCTGCATGCTTTATTTTGCTTTTTTCCTGTTTTAATGTATACAAGGGTGATACATGCGGAGGTGAAAGTTGACTGAGATGACCACAGTAGCCAGGCAAGAGAGAGAATACAGATTGTCAGTCTATCTTGGAAAGCTGCCCAGGCTGAGCAAGGATGATGGTCTTGATGGTTGGGGGGTGGGGGGTATCTGCAATGCCCCTAACTGTTATGTCAAGTTATGTGGAGAGGGACTTTTTGATGTGTTATGAATCAAGGGATGTCAATCATTTAACCTAACCTTGAACCTGAAGAAGTCAGCATGACTTGCATTTGCCATTTGAGGTCATTTTTATTTGTTTAGAAAACTATATTGACCAATGAAATAATAGTATATCCAGACAAAGCTGGAATGAAGCAATACCCGGTCTAGGAGGAGCTCGAGAGGGTATAAAAAGAATGTTTGAGCTCTGTAGTCATGCCGCTCCATGGACTGTAAACAGATGCTATTGGGGTGTTTTCCTCAATAAATCTTACACTGTGCAATAGGCCATTTAGTCTTTGAGTGATTTTTGACAGCAGATTGAGAAATGTGTGGGTGAGAAAAGGACCCTGTCTGGCCCTGGGAAACAGTTCTCCCAGTTTCACTTCTGTATGGAAAAGCATTTCAACTGTATGTGTGTGACGCTTTCAGTATGAACATTTTATAAGTCAATGTGAGAGATTTTTCAGTTATGTGTATATAAGCATACTTTACTAGTGTGCTTTTCAATAGTTTGCATGACAGCTTTTCAGTTTGTGTAAGCATATAATTTTTCAGTTGGTTGTGTAAGAGCGTCTCACTTGTGTGTGGATTTCAGTATAAGAAGTGAATGACGTTTGGTTTCATATGTGGATGTGAGGATCATTTTGGTTAATGTCCCTAAGGGCCCCTCATAAAAGAAACCAGAACAGAAATAGAACATTGCTCCTGTGCTAGTTTATGACACATACAAATAAACTTTGATCTACAGTTAAAATGAAGCTTACATTTGCAGAACACCTCTACACTGCAAACAAAACTTTGTGTAGTGCTTCTTTGCCTCGTCACTTGAAGGCCTAAGTGGTTCCCTCACTGAAGTCCTTTTACACAGAGATGGCAGAAAACTGCCAGCATTTTGACCCTCCCTTCAAGGCAGCTTTTTTAATTTAAGCCCATTTTTACACAAGGCTTAAAAAAGCCAGCCAACTCCTGTGTTCCTTTTACACAGCTGCTGGAAAGCTGGTAGGTTATTAGAGGCAGGGTCCATCATTGACCAAGCATTTCAGGACTGTACCTTTTGCACAGAATGGTGAGGTGGAAAGTTGGCAGAAAAAAAATCCCACATCAAATGGGCAGTGTAAAAGGCGCTTCTAACACTCAGAGCTTCAGAATAACAAGAAGCTGCTATCATTCTGGAATTCTATGCCACATAAGATGTACCAATAAAAGTATAATAATGCTGTATCCCATTTCAGATAATCTTGATTTCTTTGGAATTATTGGAGGACACAATTATATCAGACACAGTAATAAAACAAACAATATTGTCAAACTGTGTCTGCAGAAACTACTGAATAAAGACCTCTTAGCAGCTTTGTTTTCCTTCAGATTTAGATATTGAGAGCAGAAATATCTTGTGTACAAAACATTGGGGAAAAGAATCTTAGGATGTGAAGGTGCCATAACATTTGCAACTGCTCTTTACAACATTGTGTCTTTAAAAACAAAACATATAGTTTAAGGATTACAAATGGGTCCTATGTATTGATCTGCATCATTGGTCATATGATGTCTTCCTGACAAGCTGTCAGCATGTTGGAAATGTTAAACTTAAGAAATCCTGGCAAACATGGAGTTAGAATATGAAAAGTTATTTAACTGTGGAACAAGCCAGTAAAACCCGCGTTTGATTGGTAGGCTGAAATTCTGCTTTTCCTTGTTTTCTAACTTATCTACAATGTTACAATGGTGAATTATCATCCTAAATGTGACGTAAAACTCAAAAAATGAGGTGTATTTATGTTCTGGTACTTCTATGCAGAAGCACTTCTGTTTATACAAGTCTCACTAACTCTCGCTTGAGAGACTTTTTTTCTAACAATGTAAAATCTTCTAGCATTGTTCCTTTGGAACAACAATTTACTTGGACGGTTATAATCTCCAGGCAGTTGCACATTCATGCGAGCTTGCCTGGCATCCACTGGTGCCATTTTAAAAGCATAATTTTTTGATTGCACATGGTTTTGTGGATATATTTCCTGCTTCCTGAGGTTACTGCATGTCCGGGAATGTTCCTGTACAGAGATTCACTGTTTTACCTGACCGGGTCTAACCTACAATCAGTCAGCCAGTGAAGCACCCTGGGGTGGTGAATGATCAGCTCATCAATGCTGGATTCCTCCAGAGCACAGTACATTTGTTTTGACTGCTTTAGGCCAGTATGTCTGCCGCATGTGATGTGATGTGGGTTGGTGAAGAGATTCTAATGATCCATGATGTTACCATCAGTGCGCCGCTACCTGGAATTCATTTCAGTACTTTGGGAATGTATGTGGTCCTGTGGGGGAAGATGCTGCAATTTAACAGCCTTGGAGTAGTTGAAAGTGAATGATGTTTCCACTATTTGGTGGGGCTTAATGTTAAATAAAAGAAACAAAACAAACACACACAATGCATGCTTGTTAATGCATTTTTTCTGTAGAGAACTGTTGTAAGGCTGGAAAACCTACTATCTCTGCATTATGCCAGTTAAAATATGGGGTTTCTCCATTACTTGTTTTGTTTAGTGTGTTACAAATCTCTTTTCATTGGTACATATCGGTATATTTATCTATCTATGGAGGAGAAATTCAAATTAATTATTACGGTTTGTTGTGCTGTCCACTTTCATATTCTGGCTCAAATGTCAGAGAGGAATTGAGATATTGCCATTGTTGAAAACATAGCTTATGTGTCAGTGTTTTTGTTACCCCGTCGAGATGCATTTCCTGTGTTCAAAACTCTGTTTCATGTAGCGACCCCCTCAATGGTTGTGGTTAGGATAATGTTAGGATTCAGGTTAGGAGAAACGCATCTCAATTGGGGAACAGATTTCAACATAACACAGGCAAAAGAGTTGTACATGCTCATGCACTATCCTCTCGTTTTTAGGAAAAGGCTCTTGGGTTTTATTGTTTTGAAATAATTACACTATTTGGAGTTGTGGTGAGTGCAAAGCTAATCTAGATGTACCCAAAATTAAACATTAGATGGCTTGAAATGAGCATGCCATGGGCACTTTAAATAAGTGTCTAGTCAGATGGAGCCATCTGGCCTTCCACATAGCATTATGATTTATAGTCAATGTCAAGTGCAATGGCCCAGAGAAAAAAATTTGATTACAGTGGATGAGGCAAAAGGTACGTGTTGAACATTTATTTAGTTACAATATAGATTTCACTTTAAAATGTACAAGTAATCTTCTTATCCTTAAAGTTCTTTTTTGTTTACAAGAACAAGAGAAGGTTGTCTTATGTTGAAGCAGTGCTGTGTTCTTGTACATTATGCCTGCAAAAAAAAAATTTGTTTTGAAAAGAATGGGGCAGGGGAAAGAATACACACACACACGCACACGCACACAGTGGTGTGTCTGGATTTCAAACTGCTGACCAAGAATGAGGGGATGTTTGGGGTTGAAGAGATCAGAAAACAGGAGTTCAAATTCCATCCACCCAAGACCCCAGGCCCCTCTCTGCCAGCATACGGTTCACTGAAATTACCTGAAAGGGAAAAAAAAAGAAAAAAGAAACTTACATATACAGAGTTACATTATACATGTACATTGCCAGTCAAACGTTTGGAGGCACATTCCCATTGAAATGAATAGGAAAGTGTTTCCAAACTTCTGACCAGCTTATACATACATTAGGCATGGAACAGTTCAAGTAAAAAAAATAGATAAATAAAATAAAATAAAAAATTCGACCAGTTCGGTTTACTAGTCATGGTTTGGGCATGTATGTATTGTTTGGTTCATTTGAAACAGGTTGTGCAGAAAAAAAATCTGAAGTTACTAAGGAAAAAAAAGCCTCATGGAATAACCCAGCAAAACTTGCGGTGTGCAGTTGAAGTGTCCAGTGTAGCCGTCAGTCAGTTTTGAAAATGGACAAGACGAAGTACAATTAGAGGATCCACTACCATTGTTTTGGTCTGCTACAGATTTACTGGGAATTTACGCTGAATATAAGACATGAGCAGTGCATTTAATGACATAAGAACAGCTGTTTGTCAGCAGGACAGCGGCCAAAAAATGATCTTCACGAATCTGACCGACAACAAAAATGTTTTTCACGCAGGCTCATCAAGAAGAAATCTGGAAATCTGCACATTTCAATGAATTGCTATTGTACTGATTTTCCCCCACTCACTACAGAGGGTGGGGGGGACATGCTCAGTGTCAACAGACACATCTAAGGAATGAAATTCTATCTGTTGTGTGATGTGTAAAAACAAGTCTAAAGTGGTGGATAAAACAATGTTATCTTGCTGTCCCAGATACATATGTACCAAGGGCAGTTTTTCGCTAATTGATCTCGTCTTGCGTCTGAGAATGTGAACAAACTCATCATGCAGAAGAATGTGAAACTAGAATGAACAAAGCAGTGTTGTTTTTTGAACAGTTCAGTGTGTGTTCAGTATATGTTGCACTTTATATTGACAAAGAAGTATTTGTTTCTTAAGGTCTTTGTCAGAATTTTAAGGCAAAGATTTAACTTTTTTTTGCCAAAAAGCTCATGCACACCCACTTTACCAAAGACCAAAACGAACCGAACCATGAATTTTGTTAGAGAAGTACAGTCAGTATCTTATTTACAGAAAAATAACCAAAACTGTACGTTTCCCCTCAATTCAAGTAGCAGACATGTCAACATCAACTACTCAGAGGAAACTGTGTGAATGATGCAGGAGTTGCTGATACACTTCATTTTCCCCCATGCGTATGCACTTCTTTGCCTCTCACTTATAATCTGACTACTACTTTTACCTCTGGTCCTTTGCTCCGAAATAACAGTACTGATGGCCCCAGTTACTTTGTTCTGTTCAGCAGCTTTTTTTCTGTACATGATCACTAAACTAAGAGCACCAAACACACCTTTTCTTTTCTCCACCAATCCAATGTGTCTCAGTTTCACACTCACTGAAATTGCACCTCTTTTTTGGGGGCTGCTTTTGTTGCCATGTCTAATAATTTGTACCTCAGACAGTGTTTTTCTATGCAAATGAATGAGTAAAGTGTATCTATTTATGGCTAAGGGTAACAGTGGAAAAGAAGCTTGTGCATGTGCCCAATTCTACCATAATTGAGATGTATAAATCAGAACTAGGTGTAATGTGGCTTTATAAATAAAGCCACTGGAGTCGATTGCCCCCTGGTGGCAAGTTGCAGTATACGTCTATAAAAACCTACCCCGTCCATGTGAGTAAAGATATAAACTCAAAGAAAAACTCAAAATTTTCACTTGAAGGGGTAAATTCTGTTGTTTTAGGTTGATATTATCATGCTGATTTCTGTACAAGTGGTCATTTTTCTGCTAAGTTTGTTGCCTATGCCTAGGGTGGGGGTTATGTTTTTGCCGGCATTTGCGCTGTTGTTCACACTGTCATTTAAATGCGACTGCCATCTGTCTCATGTGTGAACAGTATATGGCCCTGAGGTGACCCGCATGCGCAGAAGAGTACGTGACATCAGACGCAACGTACTGTGTTTGCAAAAATAAAAATGGATGTGGCTTGTGATAGCATGTGCGTAGCGATGTACCAGTTAATGTGCAATCGAAATAAAGAAATAATAATAAGAATATCAAGA